TAAAAATTACGAATTTAATGAAAATATAAAGTTGATACGTCAAAAAATTCAGAAGAATAAACTTCTTGAAATGGCTATCTACACATTTTTCACAAATAATTAAAGCTAGTTTGTTCAAGTTTTTTTACCAAAACATAAAAAAATGTATTGCAATATAAATATCTTTAGTCCTTATCCCAGTGAGCTTTATACAAAAAACAAAATTTGTTTATCTTTACTATCTCCGGAGATATTACATTAGGTACATCTTCGTGGACACCTTGTAAATATAGATAGGTTGTATTATTTAGTAGAAAACTAGAAATTATATATTATACATTAAAACAGGAGAAAAATAAACCCTACTGTGTTATTAATTATTTGATAATTAGTTATCAATAAATCATGTTACTAGTCTACTCTATAAATTTTATTTCAAGCCATAAAAAAACCGCCACTTTTTTATAGTACAAAGTATAGATATAGACAAACATAATATTATAATAAGTTGAAAATTTAAAAAAATTTTAATTCGATTTTATAGCGGTCGGTTATGTTTAGTGTTTTTGTTTTTTATACGTTTCGATAAAAACGTATAACCTATTGTTAGTTTTTAGTCGTTTCCGAAGAGTATTTGAAAGTTTTAAAAATGTTGTTTCCAACTATTGCCTAAACTTTTTTTTCTGCACTCGCGCACGCGCTTGCGTCCGTAAAAGTTTCTTATTTTTCTCACTATATAAAGGCCGGTCCTTTTATGTCCTGACAATAATAATAAAAAAAAAAAAAATAAAACTTTCTGATAAAAAAAAAAATTTCTGTAAAGTGGTTATAATATTATGTTAAAACGTACAACATTTATCGAATTGGCGTTCACGGCGTTTGTTTTTTATCAAAATAAAATACTTAACAGCTTACATATAGACAGTGTATTTCAAAATTAATATCTATTCGATACTAGATACTTACGTGACAAATATTCGATAGTTACATAATATCATAGTGTATTTTTTGAAAATCCACGAGGAGAAACGATCCTGCAGCATCACTTCCTTCCCTTTCGGTAACTATGAGCGAGATGCTAGTTACAATATTGCTACTAGATATCTCACTTAAAGATACTAATCATACGTGCCTACGGCAATATCAATTTTCGTATACGAAGTCAAGTAAAGATACAATAATAGTATATTTAATACATAAATTCTATCGAAACACAAGAGAAAAAAATATCCGAGAAAATACGTGTAATAAATTTCGTATAAAAATAGAAACTTATATTTTTTAAGTGAAGTATAAATATTAATAGTGTATTTTAAAATGAGATCATGCCCTTGGAAATGGAAACATTTTATATACAATAATAATCGTGTACATATACGTATAATCTACCCGGTTTAACACCAGTGACTATTTTCAAATATCACGTGAACGCTATATATATTTATTACAGTGACCATAACATAATTATACCGCTAATTAAAAAGCGACTATGATCATTATACTAATTGCAGTAATGTTAATGATTAACAGTTCCGACAAACATCAACTACTCGTCGTCGGGTTATTAAACTAATCAAATTTGTGCGCAGAAATTCTATCAAAATGTCTAAAAATATATTCGAATACGTTTAAAAATATGACGAAAATAATATTTTTGATCTTTCAATCATTTGCTGGTTATACTGTGTTGTTTTTTCATTTGTGTCCGAAAACTAGTTTTCTCCCCGAAATATTGTTTCGATCAAAAAATTTTAATAGGAACTTTCTTGTATAGGATTTTCAAACTAGTCTTTGGATTTGAAAGGTCATTTTACTTATTTTTCTTGAAATTTGTTAAACAAATGGGGAAAGCTGGCAATCGTTTGTTTAACTTTGGTTGATTTGCGGGTTACACTGGCAAAAATTAATATTCTGCTCAGAATTGATTTGTGTTAGCAATGGTTCATTTTTTTTGTACAAATAAAAATGACATTTTTTCATATCTAACTTCACTTTTAAACAGTGGCATACTCGTCTGTGCTGNTTAACTTTGGTTGATTTGCGGGTTACACTGGCAAAAATTAATATTCTGCTCAGAATTGATTTGTGTTAGCAATGGTTCATTTTTTTGTACAAATAAAAATGACATTTTTTCATATCTAACTTCACTTTTAAACAGTGGCATACTCGTCTGTGCTGTATTAGCCTTTTTATTTTTTAAATTTTATAATTAAATATTTTTAATATTTTATTTTTGACAGGGTATATTATACGTGTACAATTGAAATTTTCGAATTTGAGCTTTTTTAACTCTGTACATTTTTATTCTAGAATTATTATTGTGAAACTATTACCACCACCGCCATAAACAAAATATTGTTTTGTGTTTTATTTAATCTACCCTACGTCCTATGTCGCATGACCCTGACCAGTCATTTTTTTATTAGATCGTAATTTATTAGTAAAAACTAAAAAAAAAAAAACATTTTTTTGTTTGTGTAAGGAAATAAAATTTAATAAATACACGGTACCGACATAAAGAGCACGTTATTGTAATATTATGCACGTTTTAATCATAATATTATGACGTATTTGTTGCGTGTATGCATATATTAAAATTATTTTTTTTCTATTTGTAAACTGAAATTTTTCTCCCAGTTATATTGCTCCATTTGTCAACTTTAGAGGTGGTGTCCGGTAGTGAATATTTCTAGCTGGTGCATTGCAGGTGAGGTCATTTTTCGATTTTTCTATTAAAGTTTTCGTAATAATTGGGTTAAAACGGGAAAAATTATCGGAAATAACGATATCTGTGATTTTCGATTTTATTTTCTATCGATTTTTGAGTTATTTATCATAGTCATTTGACATTTTAGAGTATTTTTTTTGATCGACGAACGAAATACTAATCATCAGAACTTTTACGGCGTGCCCCCAAAACCAATGGCCATCACTGGAATTTCGTGCATTTCGTGATTCCGATGAATCTACATGCGGTTTCGCGCTCGAAGTGTTATTGTCCTATTGCGCGGAAACGAAATGCAAAATATGCACAACAACGTCGTAATATGAAAATACGTCTGTAAAGTTTTTTGACGGGTGTTGTTAAGAAGTTTTCGCCGTGTTCCACTACGACCTCCCACATCTAACATTATATGACGCGATTTATAATACAATTTCTTGTGTACGACTTGGTATTATAACGTTATACCCGATATTGTATACATATTATAAACCGTGTGTTGACTTTGTACGGTATCTGTACGATGAAGGCGGGGCGCGTATTTACAGACCCTATCCGCATGTTTGACTCGAGTGGAATGTAAACACGCAACCCGTCGCGGATTTCCATCGACTGGGTCTTAGAGTTTACACTTATTAGAACACTATATAACTTCCTTGGAGCGTTATCGCGCTTGAACCAACAAGTGTACCAACGTGTTTAAACCCGAAATCGACTCTGTTACTTTTAGGCCCACGTCGAATTGGGATCGGATCTGTAAATACGCCGATGGGCACGTTTAAAGACCGTCCCAGTAGAATTTTCCGTCTCTGCCTTTCTTTAACACGTGTGTTTGCGTAAAACAAACGAAAAAGCCGGTAAAATCGAGTTTAGAGCATATAGAATAATTTTAAGTAAAACTCGTTTGTTTTGAGCGAACACATTTATAGGGGACAGACGCGACAGATGTTCTATACTGTGACGTGCTATTAGTATTATTATCTTTAAACAAGGTCTGTTTATAATGCCGGAAAAACATTAACGATTAACGGGTAACGCCTTTTACGTAAATGATAGCGAAAGAAATAAATTTCCGAACACAGTCGACGATTGTGACTATTGGGACGAGTTTCCGTCGGACACGTCGACGTCGTCATCGTTGTCGTCATTTAAAAAGCCGACGCCCGCAAATCGTTTATTATTATGAAACTGCGTACCGTCATTAAAAAAAAAAAAAAATAAGTTACCGTGATAACTAAAACATTTTCCTGCGAACGCTGCAAGCCGGAGAGATACGCCCCTACGTACCGCAGAGGAAACGATTCCTCAATGGTATCCGGTCGTATGTAATTTCGGCTCTAAATGCAAGCTGTCTATGCCTTCGTTGAATTCAACTACACAGGGTATCCCAACGTGTTTACTGATGCTTGTGAATTATTAATTTTAAAAAAACTTCTTTCTCTATTCGGATTTGGTGTGTGATTCCACTTAATATATTTAGAGAAAATTTAATTTTTTTTTCATAATAATTTTAAATTATATACTCGTTTAATACATCATAGAATAATATAATAGTTAATTAAAAACCAAATATAATAATAAAATACTAATAATAGTTGCTAGTTTGGCCTATATCATTTATAAGATTATACATAAGTATAAAATAATTAATCAATCTGAAGAAAATTAAAATGTGGGAAAGAAACCTAAGTAAAAACGATACAAATAGGCAAAACTATAAATAAAAGAAAATTAATATGTATACTAATATAATTGATGCAATAAATTATGCATGTGTATGTGTTGTTTTCAAAATCCGTTGGTTATGTATATGAATAATATTTATGTTCAAAATATTACTTTTTTACTCGATAAGAGATTTTTAATAAATTAAGGACAATTTGTAATTTTGTATAGTGTTTATATTGGTTTTTTTCGCATTTATTTTATGTTATCTATTTGTGTGACTCTAAGAAAAGTGAAGAAATAAAAAAAAAAATTCTTTCTAGTGATTGAGAGGTAAAAATACAAATTTTAATTGTCTCTGAAATATTTGGTATTTTCGCAAAAAAACATATTAAAAAAAAACTATAGAATTATTATGTATGGTAAAAAGTAATGTCGGAAAATCACGCTGAAATACCGGAAGTGACCTGTTATTTTGGAAAGTATTAACTTTATTCGGAATTTTTTTGTAGAAATTTCAGAAAAAAATAGTTCTGCAATTTTACATTTATGTTTTTTTTTATCATTTTTATTTTTGGGTGTAAAACCATTATCTAATTTTGAATTTCAAATGTTCACCTATAGTAAAATTTTTTAAAATAGATTGAGAGTTAAAATAAATGTTCATGTTAAAATGTTTGATTTCTGTCAATCTATTGACGACAAGTTTTATTTGGGTCAGGGGAGTGCATTATTAAAACGCTGTACACTGTGTACTCCGTACACTAATGATGCGCCACTAATCTCCTTCCACTCAAATTTAAAAATGGAGTATCTTGTCAACGGATTAAGGGAAATCATACCTCAAAAGATACGAATTTGTCCATCAAAGGTACATTGTTTAAAAAGTTTTTTGAAATTTTCGAAAATTGAAGACAAAAACACGACTAATATTACTACTTTATCAGTACTTTGCTCAGAATTTTTCTTTTGTTTATAACATTTTATCGTCATATACAGTGTATACATTAAATTTACCGGAAGACTTTCAAACTACACACCTACAACTATGATCTACTCGTGAACGACTTGAACGGAATGTACTTTTACAATTTTTCGTAAAACTCGTTTGGGTCTGTAAATAAAACACATGACCACATTTGACAGGATTCGTGAAATTTCGACTAAGTCAAACACTGTTATTAGTATTGTTATAATCTACAGATAAGCAATAAACCTATACCAATGTTCTGTTTTGATTTAGATCCATTAGAGACGCATACGAAGGATTTCCGAAGAGTTCGAGAATTGATTTTGATACTGCGGTTTTTAACGAAAAATCAAAGTTGATTATTACTGTAGCTGTGTTATTTTTCGAGATGTGTACCGAAACTTACATTGCGCATATTTCGAACTTAAACTCGGTGAATTTTTGGTCGGCGTACCCAAACGTGTCATGACCGTGAGATATAATATAATATAAACGACTCGCTCCTCCTTTATGTTTACTCGCAAACAGGTCGTGGGTTTCGTCCTTTTGCGCATTTGTTTTCGAGTTGCACAATATGACGAAATTAAATTAATAATATTATGTCGAATGTTGCGGAGCTTGTGGGCGTTCACGTATCGTTATTTGCGTCCAACGCATTCGCAGTGTAACAACATAGACAGTTTTTTACCCTTCAGTCAATTAGATCGGTGTAGTGAAACGATACGAGTTTTGAAAACAAATTTAAATTCAGTGTGAACCGTACAACGGTATTGGCCTGGCAAGGCATCATTTCCATTTTTTTTTGTTTTTTATAAATAAAAAATCTATACGAAATTACGCGATAAATTTATAGTTTAAGAATATAAAGGAACACGAAAACATTGAATAAACGGCCACTCATAAATGACACAAAACTGGATTAATTATTTATTTTTTTTTTTATGTATAAATAAATATATTTTTAAAATATGAATTGGTTAAATATTTTTTTTTCCAACTAAATTGTTAAAAATAGTGCAAAAATTTGAAACAGGATTAATTACTAGAAATTGACCTACATTGAATGTTTCCTGCGCATATGTGTTAAACAAACAACAGATAAGAAGGAATCCTCGTTCCGTTTCGAATTTCCTAAAGTTTATTATTATAATTTTAAAAGGCTTTCGACCGTTGCATAATATTTCTCGATGTCGGGTTCCGTCTAATAACTTTGCATAATATAATTATGTAGCCATATTATTCAGGTAGGAACTATACAGAGTGTTCAATAGAGATTTGACAAATGCTTTAACTTTTTCTTTTAGATATTAAGGTTCTTCTTTTTTCATAATAATTAGCTGGAGCTTTGCGCTACGATTTTTATATTTTATAAAATAATTTTATATACATTATATATTTTGAAAATATTATAAAAGATTGTAATTAAAAACAAAAATTGTTTGATTTATCCAAGATAACCGTTTTATAAATATATTTTAAAAAATAATTTTTCATTGAAATATCTATTGATGTTGTTTACTAGTCACAATAATGGAAACAATTCAAACAAAAGTGAATTTCTGACAATTGTAGACAATTAACAACTCATCATTCGCGAACATGTATTTTATTATTGTAACCTTTAGTTTTGAGATAATTTTTTAAATTGGCTATATGAGATTTCAGAAAAAAAATGCGTTCAACACGTGGAAGAATCATATCGAATTTAATTATTATATGACGAACATAACGAACGTAACAATATCAAATAGAACACATTATATTTCGTTTTTCAGCTTTCCGTAGATCACTCTGTAAACCGCGACTACGTCGTCGTGCAGGGTTTTAGTTTTTATTTCTTTTACGAACGTTTCGAAATTGATTTAATCATATTATACACCGCATAGGGAGAATTAATTTTGCTTTGTGTAACCGCCGGGACAAATTGATAGGCGTGTTCCATTATGCGCGAAAAGTATTATGGTATTCAGGAATTTTACGATGCTTTGCGTACCCAATAATATCGTCGACGACGCCGTCCGCGTAAACACCGCCGCCGAAATCGCGAATTAGATTGCGGACGTGAGGTCTAAAATTTTCGATATTTGTCGTACTATACCTGCACGTTATTATTAAATTTTAAGTACAATTTGCCGGCGATGTTATCGGAGTGGCGGTCGAACGAGTCGGGTTGGTGGGCGGTTGGATATTTGGGGGGGTAACGTATATCTTCCGCCCCCGTGACCGAAAGGTCAATTTTCAACGTTCATAATGACTGTATCTATACTATATATTTATATATTATTTATTACGTTATCAATTTAATTATAGTGATAAAATAATGAAAAATGATAAAAATAATTGTTTAAAAAATAAATTATCTTATACTCTCGTAATGGTATTACGTCAAAATCGTATGACCGCCACCGCCACCGACGCGTTCTGAAAATCGATTTAAATATATCACGGTAATTACACGTATATAGTACAAGTGCACTTTTATTTATTTACAATTTACAATTTAATTTGAGCAACTGCATGATTTTAGTGACTCCAACAAATAAAACATCTCATTATAAGTATACCTTCCATTTTTACCCTTTTTTTTTTTTTTTTTTTTTTTTTTGTTAAACCATATTTTGTATTATTTATTCCGCGTTTATGTTCTCTTATTTAAAATTAATATTATAATACGGTTAACATTAATCATAACGAATGTTTAAATGGGTATTAATAGTTAAATTTGTACACGACCACACTGTTTAATACTGAAGCTTTTGTTTTTTTTTTTTTTTTTACTGTATTTTCATCAAAATACAAAAGAAATGAAAAACAAAGACGAAAAATTGTGTGTAAAAACGATACCTTTTCAGGTGAACGGATGGACAAAATAATAAGTTACAGCGTAATAATAATTTTAGAGACCAATGAAAAATTATTAAATAATACAACTACGCACTTTCAAATTTTGTATTTAAAGTATTTTACAAAAAAATTTCGGGGCCCAATTGCAGTAAAATACGGAAAATTGACGGATGTTGTGAAATGTATAACAAACGTACTCGCATTATTATACAGTTGGTATACAAACACAGTGGCGTCAAAGTCCTGAAAAGTTTGCGTTGCGAATTAAACATAATCTATTGTTACCGGCGATACCACACATCTCGCATTGACGGTATTTTTTTTTTTTGTAAATTTCACGACTAAAATATTTTCTTTAATTTCGGAAGAACGCATGATTCCAGGCCCTGTATTACGGTCGGACGCATGGAATTTATGTTCATGTTCTATCTGCTATCTGTTTTTCTTTAACCGACGATCAAATAGTTTAGTTCCGTATAGATAGCGCCACGAAAAAATATAAATAAAATCCGAATTCGGGAACACCGGAACAGTGAAGTTGATAATGTTCGGACCGCTTGTATTGGCGAAATACTTCGGCGTCCCAAGTCCGTTTAATTTTTGCTTGTAGTCAAACACGAATAAAAAAAAAAAAAAAAAAACCGATATCGCTCGTGTAGTATACGGTGGTGCTAAAATAACAATTTATTATCGTATAGGCCGGACGTTTGGCGGTTTCGGGCGGGTTATGGAAAAAAAAAAATGATAATAATAATAATTTCTAGAAACGAGTAAAAATCGAATTATACGTCAGAGACAAACTCCTCCGCTCGCGCCTGCACACAAACACAAACACACACACACACACATGCACACAGGAGTGCGCGCGCACGCACGCATACACGCACGTATCGCGTAGAGTCGTCCCGTGCACGCGCCGCCCGTACACAATTGGTCAAAGAGACGTGGCGACCGCCGCCCGACGCTGCCGCCGACTGTCGTCATGGAAACGCGGCGGCGGCGGCGGCGGTTCATAAGAACATCGGCGGGCCGTAGCCAACGGGGCGCGCGCCGAGTTTCAGCGTGCGCGCGGCAGCCCGTTCACAGAGGGCGTACGGCCGGGCGGGGGCACCGGGCACCGAGGCCCCGTGTGTCGCAATGCAACACTATATAACGCCGCGGCGCCCGGTCGGGGTGGCGATCGACCGTAGACCGAGGGGATCGCGTCGTCGCCGCCGGGGGATAACGGGAGAGGAAGGGGATGGGGGCCGCGGGGCACGGTTTTATAATAACGTAATGTTTCCGTATAACGATACAATATTACGTTAGACGAAATAATAACGACGGTACGCGCGATATTTATACTGCGCGATGATAACAATAATAACGTATCGTATTATCGCGTATACGTAAACGGCCCCTATGATAAGGTCGGGCGACTCGCGCTCGCTAAACAATGCGTCGTGGCGTTGGCGGCGGTGGCGGTAGACAGCAGCCGCCGCCTTTGCCGGCCTGGCCACCCGCCGGGGCCGACAAGGGACGAAAATCCATAGGCTCGGAGTCCGCGGCGGCTCCAGTCGCGGTGACGGCAGCGCGGGCGGCCGCGGTCCAGAAAAATGGACGAAAATATCATCGCAAAACGTATGTGCACCGCCGTATAATGACCACGGGGAGATCGCCGGATATTGACGGGAACGATGAGCGGTCCGGGGCTATAACCCGTTCGTCGGGATTCATAATTTTACGGAAATAGAAACAGAATTTTTTTTCACATTTCTACGTAAATTTTAGATTCGGACCGTACCAATAAAAGTATTGGTTTTACAATCTGTGTTAATATTTTCGATTTTTGTTTTTTTTTTTTATCTGTGAACAATTTCTCTACCAGAAATTTTATCCGGGCGGTCTTTGAGAGACTTTTTATTTTAATTTTCCAAGTGGTTATCATAGTAGTTCGAGAAGAACTGCGGAAAACGTAGGAAAAGCGTGATATTGTACGTACGAATGTATAATGTGAAACTTCGTTGCGTACAGACGTAAATTGAATTCCCTTTTAAATCCTACCTTCTTAACTTCTCACTCAAAATAGTGGCTCTCCTCCTAT